ATTCTACTATAAAAACTTTTGGAACTCGAAAACAAAAACTTAATTTTGGTTGCAGTACACCATTTGAGTGGGAGTTCGTAATCGCCGATATAACCTTTCCTATCATTGGGATGGATTTTCTTCAACACTACGAATTGCTAGTCGACTCTAGTCACCACAGATTGATAAATAGCAGTCGTAAACTATCGATTTCAGGCATCTTCACAGATGTCGAGAGTATCCGCTTGATGGTAGCCACAGCAGATCAATTGTCCACGTACGATATTTTGCTAAAGAAATTTCCTGAACTGACACAGAGCGATTACTCCACAGCCTCTCTCAAACACAACGTAACACACCATATTGTAACTAAAGGTCCACCTGTCGCAGCAAAACCACGTCGTTTAAATCTAGCTAAAATGCAAATAGCAAAAGCAGAGTTCAACAGATTGTTAGGTCTAGGAATACATTACAAATCATATTGCATCTAATTGCTCATTTGCAATTCATTTTAAATAATTAAATCTTATTCAAATATGTCCTCTAATCGGATTATTCATTCTGGTGAGTATTTAATATTCTTAAAACCTACTGATCGGAAATACCATAAAAAAGACAAAAAAAGCATCATGCCGGGTGGCAAAGAGCCTTAAAAAATACCCCTATTCAATTTATAACTGTTCCTGCAATTATGAGTACTAATTGTAGCTCCCTGCCAGCCAAGATTAACTGTCTTCAATCACTCGTGTCTTCCATTATATATCGAAATACTGGGATCATATCACTTCAAGAAACATGGCTACATGATCTATACAATGACAATCTAGTGTATCTGCATGATTTCAAATTATTCAGACAAGATCGGTGTAGTTTTAGGAAGAAACGTGGTGGCGGTGTCGCCATCTTCATTAATTCACAATAGTGTACATCTAATAAAGTATGTTTCAAATTCTCTAGTGACAACATTGACTGTCTCACCGTTAAATGTCGACCTAAACATTTGTCAAAATATAATTACATCTACATCTCGAACATTTATATTGCGCCTGGATGCAATTCCACTGAATTGTTTTTATTTGCGGATGAATTTACCCCCCTTGCTGCCACCTCCTTCGGAAACTACTTGACTATAGTTACTGGAGATTTCAATTCTAGTGATCACAGCTTCCTTGTTTCACTTGGTCATGATAACATTGTCAATTTCCTGACTCGAATGGAAAATACTCTAGATCTTGTGTTTACAAATGACATAGGAATATTTGAAGCTCGGAAAAGAGCCCCACTACTTAATTGTGATCACTGCATCATAAGAATACTGCCCAAAGTATATGGAAAGCAGCACAAAAGGGTCTTCTCCTACCTTGGAAAGAAAACACAACACAGATGTTATTCACATGACAGCATACAGAATCTAAGGACAATGTTAAAAGACACAAACAGGTCCCAGTTTACTGAACTGGCTCTTGATAACACAATTACTAACATAACACATTATCTTAATTTCTGTCTTGATGTTTGTTGTCCAAAAGAGACAACCTTCTTAAAATCCGACGGCTTCTCCTCTTCTCAACTCAAAAAGCTTCACCGTGAAAAAGAGGTTGTACAAAATGAAAAATAAATCTGGTGTTAAGAGAATGAGCACTCTGATTAAAGCCGAATTACAAAGACTAAATGCTCTCTATAACCAGAAGTTTCTTTCATGTAAATCCTCATCTAATATGTGGAAGCTATTAAAGGAAATCACAGGTGGTAAGCAAATAATGAATGATACTTCTGTTGATGTTGACATGCTTAATAAATCCTTCATATGTATCCCTGCAGATGTTGTGATTCCCAAATCTAATAGTATAAATAATGACTGCTTCTCATGTTTTAACACGAATGATGTCCTTAAGTGTCTTCAATCTCTCAAACCTACTCAGTCCCTTGGTCCTGATGGAGTTCCTGCTGTTATCCTTAAGAAGTGTGCTGACATCTTATGTTACCCATTAACCGACATTTTCAATGAATCTCTTTCCAAAAGTATTATTCCTGACTCATGGAAAAATATCAAGGTTGTTCCGGTGCCTAAATCAACAAGTGGACCTACTGTTAAGTTTCGACCGATTGCTATTAGCTCACCTTTTTTAAAAGTTATGGAAAGACTTATTTTACTTAATCTTGAATCCTCTTTAAAGCCTTTCAATGACCCCAACAAGTTTGCTTATACACATAATAGGTGTACCTTAGATGCCGCTGTTGTTCTATATCATAATATGGTCTCTAGTTTAGATAGAGGAGCTAAATATGTTCGGTGCGCCTTCCTTGATTACACATCTGCATTTGACTCTGTACCTAGGTCTCTCTTGCTAAGTAAGCTTGCTGCAACACAGACTGAGAGCTGGACAAATAAGTGGTTGCATTCCTATTTTTCTGATAGGAAGCAGTACACCGTCTACAATGGAAAGTCCTCCACTACCTCACTTACTTTAGCTGATGTTCCTCAAGGTGCTGTTCTTTCTCCTTTTCTATTTTCTTTTTTCTTACATGACTTGCCCCATTCTGATGTAGCCACTTTTGTCAAGTATGCTGATGACCTCTCTGTCTCTATGCATGTCAACTCTCAGTCAGATTGTTCCAAATTAAATAACTCTCTGTCGGAAATTAGTCAGTGGTCCTCTTCAAACGGTCTTAAGCTGAATCCGTCTAAATGTCAGGTAGTAAATTTCACTTTCAGACGAAAATGTAACCTACAACAACTAGCTAGCTCACATGGTCCCACTATCATTGACGGCATAGAGGTTGAAATAACATCGTCAACTGAAAGCATCATTGATGGCAGTGAAGGATGATGATAAGTGGAGCGATAAATTACCTCTTGTACTTCTTGGAATACATTCGACAATAAAACAAGATATCGAATGCTGTCCAGCAGAATTAGTTTATGGAACTGCTTTACGACTGCCTGGAGAATATTTCAACCCAGCCACTGAAGTTCCAATTGACGAAACTACTTTTGCACAACAACTGAGACAACATATGAGCCTTTTAAGATATCATCCTCCGCGACATCAGCTCAACCAAGCATACATGCCTCAAAAACTAGACGATTGCACTCACGTTTTCATACGACACGACGGTGTAAGGAAACCACTTCAACCACCTTATGACGGACCATTTAAAGTAATAAGCAGAACAAACAAAATCATCACTGTCGAACGCGGAGGAAAACACGAGAATGTAAGCATCGATCGCGTAAAACCAGCTTTCATGGAAATAGAGGTGACTGAATGTTTACCCAAATCAACATCACCTAAATTTGAGCCAAAAAATGAGTCCTGCTCTCAAGATTCAAAATCTGATGATATTCCGGCTAACAAAACAGAAAGAATCACAAGATCAGGCAGACGAGTACATTGGCCACAAAGATTTGTACAGACAATTCATTTCTAATTCATTTCCATACTTGCTTATTACTGTACTATTAACTGTATGTAAGATATAAATCTATTTTGTAGCTCTTTACAATAACAACCTCATTATTATTCTAATAATTTTTCTGGTTTCATTGTTACATTTTGCACAACTTTCTAAACATTTTGGTTCGTTTCAAAGTTGTTAACATTTTCGAACATATACAGTCATATTATCAAACCTCAGAAAACTTAAAATCCTCAATTCGGTTTTCATACCAGAAACTCGTATATATTTCTCCTGTTATTGTAATTTACAATAATATTCCGAATACAACTAAACTTCATTTACCTGCATTCTACAGAGGGGCTATTGTAGTGACCCATTTTATTATTCATCATCGTAGTTTGTTTATCACTATAAATATTGCGTGTTAACAATTGATACATTTGTACTCGTTCAACTTTTGAATTTTGATTACTGCAATAATATATGATCGTATTCCTTCACAAGTGCCTTTTGATTTACGTTGTGGATGTCGAGTAATCACAACGTTAGGATACAATAATAAACGCGAAGAAGTACTAGGATATACGTGTACGCTAGTTTGGTGCTCTAATTTTCATCAAACTAGTGTACACGTATATCCTAGTACTTCTTCGCGTTTATTATTGTGTCGTAACGTTGTGATTACTCGACATCCACAACGTAAATCAAAAGGCACTTGTGAAGGAATACGATCATATATTATGGCAGTAATCAAAATTCAAAAGTTGAGCGAGTACAAAAGTATCAATTGCTAACACGCAATCTTTAGAGTGATAAACAAATCAAAGTCCAATTACATAGTGAAAGCATACTGCGATGATGAATAATAAAATGGGTCACTACAATAGCCCCTCCGTAGAATGCAGGTAAATGAAGTTTACCTGTATTCGGAATGATATTGTAAATTACAATAACAGGAGAAATATATACGAGTTTCTGGTATGAAAACCGAATTGAGGATTTTAAGTTTTCTGAGGTTTGATAATTTGACTGTATATGTTCGAAAATGTTAACAACTTTGAAACGAACCAAAATGTTTAGAAAGTTGTGCAAAATGTAACAATGAAACCAGAAAAATTATTAGAATAATAATGAGGTTGTTATTGTAAAGAGCTACAAAATAGATTTATATCTTACATACAGTTAATAGTACAGTAATAAGCAAGTATGGAAATGAATTAGAAATGAATTGTCTGTACAAATCTTTGTGGCCAATGTACTCGTCTGCCTGATCTTGTGATTCTTTCTGTTTTGTTAGCCGGAATATCATCAGATTTTGAATCTTGAGAGCAGGACTCATTTTTTGGCTCAAATTTAGGTGATGTTGATTTGGGTAAACATTCAGTCACCTCTATTTCCATGAAAGCTGGTTTTACGCGATCGATGCTTACATTCTCGTGTTTTCCTCCGCGTTCAACAGTGATGATTTTGTTTGTTCTGCTTATTACTTTAAATGGTCCGTCATAAGGTGGTTGAAGTGGTTTCCTTACACCGTCGTGTCGTATGAAAACGTGTGTCAAGGAACTTAGCCCTAAGTTCCTATTGTAACGAAGACTTAAGCGATTGAACCGATAAACACTATGTGTTTCCTTCAACTTTAAATCCAAAACACCAATATTCCTCGAACGAAATTATATTGTTTGGCAATTAAATTGAAGAAAACTACAAAGTCTGCAAACAAATGTTAAGTACAAATGAAGTTATAAAGTACTTTTATTCGTATTGAAATCCAGTCTTCCTTCAACTTGCAAGCGATCGTTCCATTCGCGCCTTGAATTGCCTGCCAATGGCTGCCAGACCCAGTAAAACAAACGTTCAATGTTCACGTCCATTGACACTCCCCGGCAAAAAAGGGTCCATCCCTTTTTTTCACAGCGGCGGTAACCTTGAACTGAACTGCCAATGCGGGAACCTGGGCCAATCGGGACTAGGCTAAAATTGGAAAAGCAAGACAAAAAAGCCCAACACACAGCAAACATACCACATCACACCTACACGCTCTCCCCGGCGCATGGGGTCTACGCTCTCTGACGACGATACCACCACTAATCTCTTTCACAAAGTATCGATTGCTTCATTCCACTCTAGCCCAATCCTCTCCCCGGCGTATCCAATCGCGTACGCTGACTCTAACATTACACGATTCACTCACAAGTTTAGAAGCGAATTCAGACGTGCTTACAAAACATTACAAGATGATTCACACAATGCGACAACTATAAGATTAAGCGACAATCAGATGAATCGAAACCCACTTAATTACTCAACACAAACATATGTACAATCAATACATCAAATATCGCGGATTCTGCCTTGACGAGCTACCCTTGAAGAACTGTAGGACTTACAGCAGTACGCCTACATTTCTTCTCAGGTTGACGATCCAAGTGGAAGACGTCCGGATACAAACAAAATTAATCAACAGGTAGAAGAGGGATGATACCAATTCATTATATACAACATGAACATATGTACAAAATAATACACCAAGTACGATGGACTGCTCTTCGACGTACTACCCTTGAAGAATTGTAGGACTTACAGCAGTACGCCTACAACCCTTCTCAGGTTTACGCCCTTAAGTTGGAAAATCGTCGTTGAGCTCATTTGCTGACCTCCTTCCATCATCTATATCCTCGACTCTGAATGGTAACACGCCCATGACATTGTATCGTGGAAGGTAGATGACTAACAAACATACGACGTATCTGACCAACCAAGCGAATGTACACAGTAATTTGCACCAAAGATAATAACATTCAAATAGTAGTTTGAAACATGAAATGCCTTTATTCGTGCAAGTCAGTCTAACAGTTACCACCCTGTACACAGTTGGCTTATCGTCACTAAACTGGCCATTGACTTTCGTCCCTTCGAACGGACCGACACTAGCATAATCAATGCATAAGACACGTTGATTCATGGACGGCTCTTTTACTGCATATGACAACACCAACGACGACTGGCTGACACCAGTTGAAGAACCTAGCGGTGTATCAGAAGCTGTTGTTGTTAGACCTTTAGGAGGTTGTCTAACCACAGGATTACCACCACTGCTATCTTTTATTATTGGCTCCAGTTCAGTTTTAACATCTGTCGATAGTTGGGCTACACTCGGATCACTTAAACTGACGGCCTCACGAGTATCCATATCTGCAGCAACCGCATCTGCCTTTAATTCTACTTTACGTTCAAGTTGTACAGAACCTTTAGTCAACTCAGTAGTAGAAGGCATTCCGCTAATCTCATCATGATCAGCCACAGATAAATGTGAACTACCGTGACCATTGTCACAAATACCCACTTTACCGCCGTCTGTATGATCGACTTCATCATTTTCACACTCTTTAATAACAGCCGTAGATGACTCAGGTTCTTCCTCATGAATCCTTAAAGGTTTTATTCCTTTACTCTGACTAGTAATACCTTGTAAACTTGTGGAGTCAGAACTGGACACTGAAACTGTAACCCTCTTCTTATGCACAAACTGCGGTGTCGTCTGAGACACTCTTTTCAACAATGGATTATCAGTTACGACTACAGGCTTCTTCACCGCACCATTATCGTCACACGATTCGGAGTCAGAACACGATGACGCTGACTTCACATTTAGCTTGCCACAAAACTTGCTCGTTGCTTCACAGTTAGCCTTTGCATGCACTTCTTGCAAACGGACGAAGCACAGCCGTGTTTGTCTCGCAGCTTGTAACTTATCCGTTGGGGACGTCTCGCTAAAGCTGCCACAATCATTAGGTTTACTAGACACCATACAGCTTTCTCGATATCCACTACACTGAGACCCCTTCGTCATAAATGATTGCATTCTACTCTCCGATTTCTCTATTCCAGGGGAGGGATGCAGTATACTAGCAAACTTGCTCAAAGCTTGGTTGACACTGTCTTTCACCAGGCTCACAAGGTCATCCAACCTGGGCTCTAAACCTTCCTCCTCTAGACGTGAACAAACCTTTATAAACTTCCTTTGTAGACGAACAGGTAATCTCTTGGCAACAGTTTCAAGCACGGAACTTGAGTTCAATTCATCTACGCAGTTAAAAGACATGAGTGTATTTCTATATACCATCAAATTATCCAAGAACTCTGCAAGTTCCTCTGCATTATCGTTCAACTGTGACCCGTTACCTTTCACCGTCTCGAAAATACTACGGGATATCATATATGGTTTTCCAAACCTCTGACGGAGTATCTTCATGGCCTCATCATATCCTTCGTTCGGGGGCATAAACTTACAGCACTGTATGGCTCTTGCAGCTACACCAGTGCAATATCTCAACACATACATTAACTTCATTTCATCATTCAATACAAAACCACTCAGCATGACCTCAAACTCTTTAATGAACTGTGGGTAGTCGGCTGGGTTTCCATCGAAGTATCTCGGTTCAAACTTAGGCAGTCTTAAACCCTTACTGTCACTTAACGGTGAGGCATGAACACCAAACTTAACATGCTGAGCATCATACATATCATTACAGTTAACAGGCAACTCATCGTGACTTACTTTTTTGTCTGCTTCCATTGTGCCATGTCCCTTTCTTGACCCAGGCATTATCCGTCACCAAAGAATCCAAATTGCGTTGATAATCCTTGTCCAAAGAGAAGCTGGCTGCAGATCTAGTAAGTACACCCAGACGATTTCCAGAAGGCGCCCACGAAGACTTGGAGAAGAATAAAAACTGACCCAGCTTGCAATCCAGACGACGAACAAACGAATAAAAACTGTCAAGGAACTTAGCCCTAAGTTCCTATTGTAACGAAGACTTAAGCGATTGAACCGATAAACACTATGTGTTTCCTTCAACTTTAAATCCAAAACACCAATATTCCTCGAACGAAATTATATTGTTTGGCAATTAAATTGAAGAAAACTACAAAGTCTGCAAACAAATGTTAAGTACAAATGAAGTTATAAAGTACTTTTATTCGTATTGAAATCCAGTCTTCCTTCAACTTGCAAGCGATCGTTCCATTCGCGCCTTGAATTGCCTGCCAATGGCTGCCAGACCCAGTAAAACAAACGTTCAATGTTCACGTCCATTGACAACGTGAGTGCAATCGTCTAGTTTTCGAGGCATGTATGCTTGGTTGAGCTGATGTCGCGGAGGATGATATCTTAAAAGGCTCATATGTTGTCTCAGTTGTTGTGCAAAAGTAGTTTCGTCGATTGGAACTTCAGTGGCTGGGTTGAAATATTCTCCAGGCAGTCGTAAAGTAGTTCCATAAACTAATTCTGCTGGACAACATTCGATATCTTGTTTTATTGTCGAACGTATTCCAAGAAGTACAAGAGGTAATTTATCGCTCCATTTATCATCATCCTTCACTGCCATCAATGATGCTTTCAGTTGACGATGTTATTTCAACCTCTATGCCGTCAATGATAGTGGGACCATGTGAGCTAGCTAGTTGTTGTAGGTTACATTTTCGTCTGAAAGTGAAATTTACTACCTGACATTTAGACGGATTCAGCTTAAGACCGTTTGAAGAGGACCACTGACTATTTTCCGACAGAGAGTTATTTAATTTGGAACAATCTGACTGAGAGTTGACATGCATAGAGACAGAGAGGTCATCAGCATACTTGACAAAAGTGGCTACATCAGAATGGGGCAAGTCATGTAAGAAAAAAGAAAATAGAAAAGGAGAAAGAACAGCACCTTGAGGAACATCAGCTAAAGTAAGTGAGGTAGTGGAGGACTTTCCATTGTAGACGGTGTACTGCTTCCTATCAGAAAAATAGGAATGCAACCACTTATTTGTCCAGCTTTCAGTCTGTGTTGCAGCAAGCTTACTTAGCAAGAGAGACCTAGGTACAGAGTCAAATGCAGATGTGTAATCAAGGAAGGCGCACCGAACATATTTAGCTCCTCTATCTAAACTAGAGACCATATTATGATATAGAACAACAGCGGCATCTAAGGTACACCTATTATGTGTATAAGCAAACTTGTTGGGGTCATTGAAAGGCTTTAAAGAGGATTCAAGATTAAGTAAAATAAGTCTTTCCATAACTTTTAAAAAAGGTGAGCTAATAGCAATCGGTCGAAACTTAACAGTAGGTCCACTTGTTGATTTAGGCACCGGAACAACCTTGATATTTTTCCATGAGTCAGGAATAATACTTTTGGAAAGAGATTCATTGAAAATGTCGGTTAATGGGTAACATAAGATGTCAGCACACTTCTTAAGGATAACAGCAGGAACTCCATCAGGACCAAGGGACTGAGTAGGTTTGAGAGATTGAAGACACTTAAGGACATCATTCGTGTTAAAACATGAGAAGCAGTCATTATTTATACTATTAGATTTGGGAATCACAACATCTGCAGGAATACATATGAAGGATTTATTAAGCATATCAACATCAACAGAAGTATCATTCATTATTTGCTTACCACCTGTGATTTCCTTTAATAGCTTCCACATATTAGATGAGGATTTACATGAAAGAAACTTCTGGTTATAGAGAGCACTTAGTCTTTGTAATTCGGCTTTAATCAGAGTGCTCATTCTCTTAACACCAGATTTATTTTTCATTTTGTACAACCTCTTTTTCACGGTGAAGCTTTTTGAGTTGAGAAGAGGAGAAGCCGTCGGATTTTAAGAAGATTGTCTCTTTTGGACAACAAACATCAAGACAGAAATTAAGATAATGTGTTATGTTACTAATTGTGTTATCAAGAGCTTGTTCAGTAAACAGGTCCCAGTTTTTGTCTTTTAACATTGTCCTTAGATTCTGTATGTTGTCATGTGAATAACATCTGTGTTGTGTTTTCTTTCCAAGGTAGGAGAAGACCCTTTTGTGCTGCTTTCCATATACTTTGGGCAATATTCTTATGATGCAGTGATCACAATTAAGTAGTGGGACTCTTTTCCGAGCTTCAAATATTCCTGTCATTTGTAAACACAAGATCTAGAGTATTTTCCATTCGAGTCGGGAAGTGGACAATGTTATCATGACCAAGTGAAATAAGGAAGCTGTGATCACCAGAATTGAAATCTCCAGTAACTATAGACAAGGAGTTTCCGAAGGAGGTGGCAGCAAGGGAGGTAAATTCATCCGCAAATAAAGACAATTCAGTGGAATTGCATCCAGGCGCAATATAAATGTTCGAGATGTATATGTAGTTATATTTTGACAAATGTTTAGGTCGACATTTAACGGTGAGGCAGTCAATATTTTCACTAGAGAATTTGAAACATACTTTATTAGATGTACACTATTGTGAATTAATGAAGATGGCGACACCGCCACCACGTTTCTTCCTAAAACTACACCGATCTTGTCTGAATAATTTGAAATCATGCAGATACACTAGATTGTCATTGTATAGATCATGTAGCCATGTTTCTTGAAGTGATATGATCCCAGTATTTCGATATATAATGGAAGACACGAGTGATTGAAGACAGTTAATCTTGGCTGGCAGGGAGCTACAATTAGTACTCATAATTGCAGGAACAGTTATAAATTGAATAGGGGTATTTTTTAAAGGCTCTTTGCCACCCGGCATGATGCTTTTTTTGTCTTTTTTATGGTATTTCCGATCAGTAGGTTTTAAGAATATTAAATACTCACCAGAATGAATAATCCGATTAGAGGACATATTTGAATAAGATTTAATTATTTAAAATGAATTGCAAATGAGCAATTAGATGCAATATGATTTGTAATGTATTCCTAGACCTAACAATCTGTTGAACTCTGCTTTTGCTATTTGCATTTTAGCTAGATTTAAACGACGTGGTTTTGCTGCGACAGGTGGACCTTTAGTTACAATATGGTGTGTTACGTTGTGTTTGAGAGAGGCTGTGGAGTAATCGCTCTGTGTCAGTTCAGGAAATTTCTTTAGCAAAATATCGTACATGGATAATTGATCTGCTGTGGCTACCATCAAGCGGATACTCTCGACATCTGTGAAGATGCCTGAAATCGATAGTTTACGACTGCTATTTATCAATCTGTGGTGACTAGAGTCGACTAGCAATTCGTAGTGTTGAAGAAAATCCACCCCAATGATAGGAAAGGTTATATCGGCGATTACGAACTCCCACTCAAATGGTGTACTGCAACCAAAATTAAGTTTTTGTTTTCGAGTTCCAAAAGTTTTTATAGTAGAATTGTTCGCAGCCTTAAGAACTGATGCTGGATTTGGTTGTAAGCGTTCGCTGGGTGTTGGGGGAACTATACTAATTTCTGCACCGGTATCTACCAGGAATTGTGCCCCCGTTATTTTGTCTGTCACCCTGAATAGACGGCTGTGGGACGGGTGTTGGCCAGCGACCGCAGTCGTCACCGACCGCCGGCCTTTTCGTTTCCCGACACCACCGTTTGTTGGAAAACACACGGTTGTGTGCACCGTTTAGCGTGTATACCAAATTCGCGATGATACCAGCATATAGTCTGTTGTAAGCTATATTTACGCCTATTGCGTGAGTGGCTACACTGTCTTCTGTACGTTGTAATAGGTTGTCTATTAACCCTCATTGTCATTAATTGCTCGGTCAGAACGTCTATTTTATGTTCTAAGGCTTCTATGCGTTCGTTTGACAATTTGTCGACTACAGATGTTACTTGTGGCGAAATCCGTTCATACATTCTGTCAGCGATTTCTGCCAACTTGTCAATATTTATGTCTTCATCTCCAAATGCTAATACTTGTTGAATGTTGTGGGGGAATCGCCTTAGCCACAGTTGATAAAAGAACCTGGTGTCTACCTTCCGATCTTCTAAAATGTTACACATATGGCTTTTGAGTTGAGAAGGAGTTCTATCACCTAGACCAACATTGCTGAGCAGCTGATCAATAGCTGTCTGATCTGATAATGAAGCAACCTTAATAACCTTCTGCTTTAAAACATCGTAGGGAGTTTCTGGATCTGGATTTATGAGCGTCTCCCGTACTTGCTCTGCTACATCGTCCGGTAAGATGGAGCTTGCATAGCCAAATTTTGTAGTCTGAGAAGTGACGTGGTTAGCTAGGAAGTAGTGTTCTAGGCGAGTGAACCACAAATATGGATCATTAGGTTTAAAAGGTGATATGGATATGGTAACTGCAGCCATGATGACGCCACTACTGGAGAAGGTGTGGAAAGAGGCAAAGTACCCGAGGATTGGAAGAAAGGATACTTATTCAAACTACCAAAGAAAGGAGACCTAAGTCAATGCAAGAACTGGCGCGGAATTGTGCTCCTGTCTATTCCAAGCAAAATACTGAGCCGCATCATCCTGGAGAGAATCAAACATGCCAACCTGGATGAAAAACTTCGACCGCAACAGGCTGGATTCAGGAGAAACAAGTCATGCATTGATCAGGTCGCCACATTACGGATCATCATTGAACAAAGCTTGGAGTGGCAGTCACCTCTCTATCTCAACTTCATCGACTTTGAAAAGGCCTTCGACAGCGTCGATCGGGAGGTGATTTGGCAACTACTTCGCTACTATGGGGTGCCACCGACAATTATACAACTCATCCAACAGCTATACGACAATGCTGCATGCCATGTAATCCACAACGGGAAACTTACGGAATCCTTCGACGTGAGGACAGGAGTAAGACAAGCTGGCTGCCTACTATCGCCAATGATTTTCCTGACTGCGATAGACTGGATAATGCGACAAACAGTGGGCAATGAGGAAACAGGCATAAAATGGACACACAAAAAACTTGGAGGATCTGGACTTCGCCGATGATGATATATGTCTGATTTCCCACAAACTGGAAGACATGCAAACGAAAAGCAACAAGTTAGCAGAAGAAGCATCAAAGATAGGACTTCAGGTGAACATAGATAAAACAGAGGTGATGAAAATTCCTGGGCAACACCACCAACAGCAACAACAACAACTGACAACAATCAGCATAAATGGGAGGAACCTGAAAGAAACAACCTCCTTTACCTACCTGGGAAGCATCGTTTCAACTACAGGCGGACAGTACTGACGAGGATATCAAAGCAAGAATCGGAAAAGC